CTAGACAGGCCCTCTTAACCTTTCAATCAGTCCCTCCACAGCATGGTCAACCTTCTGAAAATGTTGGGGTCATAGGAACCCGGGTCTTTGATCAAGATGCTACTAGGAGAGCTTTAGGAGAAATGATAATCATTGATAAGCTTTCTTTTAGATTCTTAGACAGTTTGTGTCAATAGCATGTCCTAGATTTGTAATACCTTCTAGGTGGACAATTGCTAGAGACATCTATCAAATATACCTTGATGAATGACTCATCCAAAAAAAGATGTTCAGGGAACACAGTCAAAGAGTCAGTATTACCACTGATACATGGACCTCTGTACAGAGGATAAATTACATGTGTATAACTCATTTCATTGATAATCAGTGGAAGCTTCAGAAAAGACTCATGTCCTTTGTCCGTGTCACTTCTCACAAAGGGGAGTACCTAGTTAAAGCCCTGAAGACTTGTTTGCTTGAGTGGGGTCTGAAAAACATTTTCACTGTGACAGTTGATAATGTTAGTAATAATGATACTGTTGTTGGGTTTTTTAAGGAAAAAATGATGTCTTGGGGTGCTTCTTCTGCGAAAGTCAAGTATGTTCATATGCGTTGCATTGCACACATTTTGAACTTAGCTGTCCAAGATGGGCTTAAAGATGCTGATAGTTCTGTTAAGAGAATTAGGGAAGCTGTTAAGTATGTTAGGAACTCACCTGCTAGACTTCAGAAGTTCAAAGATATATCTAACTTGATAAGAGTGGAAGCTAAGTGTGGTCTGCACCTGGATGTTCCAACTAGGTGGAATTCCACTTACCTGATGCTTAAATCTGCTATTTCTAATGAGAAAGTGTTTGAAGCGTATGAGGAGAATGAGAGTGCATTTGGTACTGATTTGGGTAGTGACATTCCTGATGTTTTAGATTGGATTGCAGTTGAAACTTTTGTGACCATTTTACGAATTGACTCTTATGAGGAAAATTTTTATGAATTGACTCTTAAAATTTCTGGCTCACTGTATGTTACTTCCAATACCTTCTTTTCTGAAATATCTGATTTGTTCCTTGTCCTAAAAGACATGGTTGCCTCTCCATCTGCTTCTGTCAGTGCAATGGGGTCTACTATGAAAGCAAAGTTGGACAAGTACTGGGGTGATCCTGAAAAAATGAACTCCTTGATCTTCTTTGCTAATGTGTTAGACCCTAGGGACAAGTATGAGTATATGCCATTTCAGCTCAATGCCTTATATGGTGAAAAAAATGGTGCCTTGTTTTTTGCCAAAGTGAAGTCTGGCCTCATTGAGTTATATGCTGATTATGTTGTTACATACTCTGAGTGTGTTGGTGGAAGTTCTAATTCTAGTTCACATAGTGCTGCATCTGTGGAAGTCAATAATGCTGAGAACAGGCCAGTGTCAAGATTTAAGGCTGAGTTAAAAAAAAAACTAGAGAATGGTCAGTTAGGAGTTAAAAAAACTGAACTTGATACATATCTTGAAGAGTCAATAATTGAGGAAGATATGGACTTTGATATACTGAGATGGTGGAAGTTTAATAGTGAAAGATTTCCTATTCTATCTAAGATGGCTAGAGATGTACTTGGTATTCCAATCTCCACAGTAGCTTTTGAGTCCACATTCAGTACCAGTGGTAGGGTTTTGGATTGTTTTAGAAGTTCTTTAAGTCCCAAAATTGTGAAAGCCCTTATATGTGCACAAGATTGGTTGAGAATGGCTAACCAGCCTATTTCAGTTGAAGAAAACATGGATGATGTGGACAGATTAGAAAAGGGTAGTACTGTTATGCCTTTGTTTATTTAAACATAATTTGTAATATAATGTTTTCATTTTTCATTTCTAACACTTCTGTTTCTTTGTTTTATAGAATTAACAGATGTAAATCTTGGTAGTGCTGCTACTGGGGCTACTGGATCCTCTAATGTCCCATTGAGTGTACACTTTTTGTTTGCATTGCTATTTTTTACATTAATTTGTGAAGCATTTCATAATGAATTTGAATATTTGATTATCTGACTATGATGCCTCATTGTGGGACTGGAAAGAACTATTGAACTACTATGATGGAATTAAGATTCCACTCATTCCAGTGCCCACTTGGTACAATGCTATTGGCCCCTTATCCGTTTGTCCCTTGGTCCCTTGGAAAGCTTGCATGGTAAACCACTTTTATGTTACAGTTCATACCTATGATGATATGAACACACATTTGGCTGTGATGAATGTTTCCAGGGTTTAGAGTTTTCACTTTAAACTTTTGAGTAATTATCCCATGACTCATGGATGATTGTGTTGGTGTTAATCCTGTTTGGATAGTATGCCCATATCCTTTGTGAGATCATATGTGAGATAACTTGGAATCAATCTGAGCCTAACTTTGCATACCTTAAACTGTTTATGAGTATTTACTTCTAAAGTTTTTGAGTATTTACTTTTACAGTTTACTTATACAGGATGAAATATCCAATATGTTAATTTGATGGTCTGGGGTCTGGAATCTGGAATCTGGAATCTGGATTGTTCACTGTGGAGCATGAAGTATGTGTGAAGTAATGAAGTGATCATCTTGTACTGGTATGCTGCTGTTAATTGTTAAATATCAGTCTGATATATATGATATATATATATATATATATATATTAAATAATATATATGGTAAAATGGCAATGATGAAGCTTCCACTCATTACTGAATCTATCTAAGAGGTTTATGGTAGGTATTGCTCTTTCAGTTCTTAAGTGATAACTGAAATGGTAGCGGATGCCCCCTATCCTTTATGAATGATAATAAGCATTCTGAGCCATCTCATTGTCTTCTATAGTCATTTGGGAATTGGGAACTTCTGAATTTGTAAAAATAGCTCAATCTGTATCTTCTAAGTATTATTTTCATAGTATACTCCAATTCTTTGTGAAGTTGATACTTGTTTATGTCTTCTACTGATAATCTGGTATAGTGGTATGCTGCTATTAAGCTTGTATATAGTCTGACTTGATATGAAACAGAATTGGATTGTCATGTTCTTTTTCAGTGTATCTTGTGACCCTATTATAATATATGACACATATCAGTATGATATATATGAATTGTATGTATAATTGTATAGTCATTTGGGAGCTTCTGAAGTTCTGAATTATGATTTTGTAAAAGGACTTAATCTTTTTCTTGCAAGTATTTTTTTCATTGTATACTTCAATTCTTTGTGAATTTGATACTTGTTTATGTATTCTATGTTGTATCCAGGTAAATAGGTAATGAACTTGTTAAGTTTTGGCATATTAAAGCTGGGAAGTGGACAAGTGGTCAAATGGTTAAGTACTTAGTACTCAACTACTCAAGTGTGAAGTGAGAATTTATGATTTTGCCTATTTGGAGAATTTTAAATGGCAGCTTGTGAAGTTGTAACATTTATAACTTTATAAGTTTGTACTTTTAAACATTGTAATGTGTTTGAACTCACTATTTAAAGTCCCAAATTCCAAGTGACCAAGGCCAACTCCCAAGCATTTAAATATTTCATTTTGTTCACTTTTTTGGACTTAAACTCAGTATGGTTTGATTGTAAACTTCAAATTGTATTTAAAGTCTGTTTTTCTTTGATAATTCTGCAACCCGATTTATCCCAAAACCCGACCCGCACCCGAAATTAACCCGAAAATCCGAAACCCGAAATTACTTTAATTTAAATGCATAGGATCGGGTATCCATTCAGGTCACCCGATACCCGATAGGGTCTTTGGTTTTTCAAACCGCCCGACCCGAACCCGACCCGTGCTCTCCCCTAAACCTAATTGAATGTTTTTATAGTTGGAAGTAGGGGTGGGCATAACGGTTTGGTTTAACCGAACCGAACCGAACCGTACCAAACCGAACTAATCCGAACCGAAACCGGACCGTATGCAATTTGGTTTGAGTTTGGTACTATTTCTTCCAAACCGTATCAAACCAAACCAAACCAAACCAAATCGAAACCGATAAAAACCGAACAAAACCGAACCGAACTAAAGAAACTCAAAAAAACATTCATATATTATTAAAATTGGTGGTTTGATTTGGTTTGGTATGGGTTTACTAAAGTAAACCATTTGGTAAACATTTGCTCAAAACGAATGGTTTGGTACTTTGATTTGGTTTGATTTAAAATGGAAAAACCGTAAACCGAAATGAACACCGAACAACATACACACACATGTATGTATGTATGTATGTATGTATGTATGTATGTATGTATGTATGTATGTATGTATGTATGTATGTATGTATGTATGTATGTATGTATGTATGTATGTATGTATGTATGTATATACAATGTATTTATCTTCACTCATCATTTTTAAGATATAAATAAATAATTTAGACATGAAAATCCATATTTAAGCATATACTCGTATCATTTTAACTTTTACACAGTTCATACATTCATTATGACAAAGTTAACTAATACAAAATATTTGTATTTATCATGTTTGTCGATAAAAATAGCAAATTGCATTTATATTTTACATGATTCATTTGAATAAAATTGTGAATATTACAACATTTGTATCATCGACTCTTTTAGGCTTTTTTTAAATATTTTATGTGATATTATAAATGCTAATCAACTATCTTATTTTTTGTAAGAAGTGAATTTTTTGTAGTGATAAAAAGGTGTTAGAAGTTTTAATTTATAATATTTTATTATTTATTTTTCTATCTTTTATTTCCTTTTACATTTTATTTAAATAATCAATAAATTTATAAAAGATGAGATGGACTATTACTTTCATTTTCTAATTCTAAAATATAGAAATTGATCAAATAAAATAATAATCATAAGCAAACGAATCAAATCAAACTAAATTAAACATAATATATTTTACTTTGGTAAACCGAACTTCAAACCGAACCGAACCAAAACCAAACCGAAAAACAAATGATTTTAGTTTGGTACAAATTCTCCCAATCCGAATAAACTGAAACCGAATCGAAACCGAAGAAAACCGAACCGTAAACCGAATTAGAAGGATTAATGAATTTTTCCTATAAACATTCCCACGTTTCAAAATATAGCTAAAGGGTTAGGGTTTCACAGGATACCGTAAGATGGCGAACCGGACGGACCCAACGGCGAAGAACATACACGGCACAAATCCGCAGAATCTCGTGGAGAAAATTGTGCGATCCAAGATTTATCAAAACACCTACTGGAAAGAGCAATGCTTCGGTCTCACGGCGGAGACTTTGGTCGACAAGGCCATGGAGCTCGATCACCTTGGCGGGACCTTCGGTGGAAACCGTAAACCTACACCTTTCATGTGCCTCGTCATGAAGATGCTCCAGATCCAGCCTGAGAAGGACATTGTAGTCGAGTTTATCAAAAACGAGGATTACAAGTACGTGCGTGCCCTCGGTGCTTTTTACTTGCGTCTTACCGGAACGGATATGGACATTTATCGCTACCTCGAGCCTCTCTACAACGATTATCGAAAGTTGAGGCTCAAATCACCCGATGGAAGTAGGTTTTTTTTTGTCCAGTTTTTTTAACATGCTTGTGAAATTATTGCTTTCTGTGGTGTGTAGTGTTCTGATAAGATTTGTCACAGACTATACTCTTGTGATATTGTTTTTGTCGCAGACTATACTTTAAGTCACGTGGATGAGTATATTGATGAGCTGCTGACGAAAGATTACTCTTGTGATATTGCCCTGCCTAGAATTAAGAAAAGGTACGTGATGATTTGCTTTCCGTTGTAGTTTTTCATCATTCATAAGGTTGACACGTTGAGTTCAATTATTCTATAGTCATGAATTCTGGACGGAATTTGGGGCATCTTAATGGATGAGATTTTGCACTTTTGGCCTTCTATTTATTGTGTTAGTGACACTTATCCTTTGATTATTTTGATAAACACTTTTCTTACCCATCTTTGAATCTTTCCATTTTTAATCGTACCTATGAAAGTGACACTTTTGCCACAATGAGTGGACTACCAAAATTGTCATTATGGTATTAGTTAAGGACTAAAAATGTCACTTTCACATTAGTTAGAATACATAGTGAAAAAGTTCAAAAAGTCAAAAACTCCAAGTCAATCACCAAAATGTATATCCTTCACAACAGTTGAAAGACTAAAAGTGAAAAAACTCAAAGACGAGTACTAAAGTGTCACCAACACAATCGTTAGAGTCGACGGATGACTTAAAGTACAAAAACTTTCATGGAATTTGATAGTTACATAAGTTGGATCATTTCACCATTGACATAAGGATAAGCAGAGGTCATTTTCTTGCTCAACCATCTTCATGCTTTATAAAGGTGCAAAAGAAGTAGCTGACTAGAATGGGTCATTTCATTGATTAAGGGGCTGCTTTATTTGCCTATAGTTTTCTTATCTGTAAACATTGATTGTTAGAATTCCAGATCACAATTGTACTCGCCTTTTCTGCTCTGTAAGTATTACAATCATATTGTAATAAACTAGGATGAGAAAGTCAGTCATTGATGTTATGGTCATTGATTTGTAATTGATAGAGCTTATGTTAGATAAGTTTTGGAATCTATCCACTGTAATTTCATGATTGTTCTTTCTTCAATTTGCTTAGTTCCTAATACTCTCACCTCCTTTTTGTCATCCTTTAGATGGACCCTTGAATCTCTTGGTCAACTGGAACCCCGAAGAAGTGCTTTGGAGGATGACTTTGAAGAGGAGGAAGAGAAGGATGAGGATGAACAGCTTACTATTGGCACAAATGTTGGGCATGATAAGGTTTCTTGTATTTTTTTCTCGTATGATTAATGCACATCCTTCCATTTGCATATAGTTTTATTTTGTCTTCTTTCGTCTTCACTTCTGATGCAGGATTATTATCATGGGCACAGTCCAACTAGGGAAAAAGATAGAGACAGGAGACGAGATAGGGACAGTTACAGACACAGGTAACATTCATCTTTGTGACCGCCTTAGTTTTAAAAGGCATGAGGCGGCTTGAAGCGATTTCATTGATTTACCCGAGGCGCTAGGCGCTAGGCAATGAGGCGCTCGCCTCACGGATCCCAACCAGATTTCTTTGGTGAAATATATTTTTAGTACTTATGCATGAAGCACTCTTCTTAAAAATACTTCAAACTATTAAACAATCTTAATTAACATCATGAGAGAAACAAATATTTATTGAAGACAATAAGTCAGAAGCCTAACAAATATATGTTATTGAATCCCTAACAAATATATGTTATTGAATCCCTAACAAATATATGTTATTGAAAGAAATAATCACAAAAACTATGCATTGTGGACTGTTGAAGTAATACAGTAAGAACTAACAAACTTTCAAGGGTGTCTTATAATATTAAAGTAAAATTGTAAAAATTATACAATTTGCTTATAAGCCTTATATATAAAACAATTAATAGTCATTTTGTGATAAATTGTTATATCTGTTAATAGTAATTTTAATAATTAATCTAATAAACTGTTATATAAAAATTGTTAAAAAATGTTAATAATAAAAACTGTCATTTTATGCAATACATAGTTAATGAATCTACGGTGATTCGGATCCTCTTGAAGAATCTATGGTGACTTTGCAATACATAGTTAATAAATTAGTGTTATAACACTACAATATATATTACTCCGTATATAGTATTATGACAGTATCATTGACAAACTATCATTGTTATGTAATTAACTATAAAATAAGCTTTAAAAAAAACTATAAAATAATACATATTTAATTAACAAACTATCACACAAATACAATTCTGTAAAATTAATTACAAACAGATTTGTAAATTTAAATAATTTTATAAATTTAAAAACTAAAAAACTTAAAAACTTAAAAGACTTTTTTTCAGTTATCTATCAAAACTTATAAATAGCGAACCATAATATATACGTAGTACCAGTTATCTAACTTTTTATTCAAACAATTTTAATATTTTATAAATATAACAACTTAAAATGAAAGAGAATAAATAGCAAAAGACAAAAAAAGGTAAATAGACTTACCTGCGACGCAGATAGCAGCGAAAGAAACAAGTTGGAACTCAGAAGACTCAAACACCTACGCCTAAGCAACTGAATCGCCAAAAAAATTGGAAAGGGAATAGCCAAAAAATTCCATCGGACACTTACTTCCAGGAGGCGTTAAAAGCGCTCGCCTCTCTGAAGCGCAAAAGCGCCGATTAAGGGGCGCCTTAGTGAACATGCGCCACCTGGGGGTATAAAAAGCGAGGAACCTCACGCCTTTAAGCGCCTAGCGCCTTTGCATGCCTCAGGCGCGGTTTTTTTAAACCAAGGTGACCGCTATGTTATTGAAGAAAATGTATGTCTACAAAGTTAGTTGTACTAATCAAAATTCAGAAGAAATACTACCTCTGTCTCAAAATGTCATGCCTGGTCAGATATGCTTTAATTAATACACAAGAGTAAAAGTAATGAAATCATTATATTTCATGATTTATTTTCTGTTAAACTCAATTTTATGGTGAAGTTGAGATTTAAAAAGGCTAGTTCGGGTATCTAGGCGGTTTGTTCAGGAGAGGCAATATGCCTTGAGGCATACCAAGTTAAACTTAAAATAGTTAAACTACTAAAAACCAACTAAAATATGCATAACCATAAGTCCAAAAGGTCTCACACACATTATATGATCACATAACCGATACAATAATTCAAAATGAGAATTAAATCACACAAAAAAACACATCACACAGACGACACAGTGTAGATGTATCTTATAGCCTTATCAGTTATCACCATCAGCCCTTCCATTATCAATATCAAAGTCATCCCTTTCTTCTTCTTCTTCTTCATCCTCTACCTCCATTACTTGTTTATTTTTCTTACTTTCCTTGGATACCAGTCTTATTTTAACCATTTCACTCGTCAACCTTCTTAGGGTTTGGAAAGTGTATATTGACACATGCTTAATGGGACTTTTAGTAATTAAAATTTAATTGGCCTTTTATAAAATAAAATTACTGGGCCTTTTTAAGTTACACTCGCGGTAAAAAAATAAATGAATAAAATCACATCTAAAAATGGCTTGAGGCACGTGCCTCAAGGCGTAGCCCTGACTTTTGAGGCTTATACGCCTCTTATCCTCCCAAAAAAAGTAAAAACCTAATCCTCCAGACCTGATATCTGTGCATCACATTGAGGTGCGTCTCAAAACCCGCCTCTAAACCACCTTTTTAAACCAGTGTGGATTAGAGAGTATTTTGTGCTTGGTCTTTTATCTCTCAAAACCTGATGTCTGTGCATCACATTGAGGTGCATCTCAAAACCCGCCTCTAAACCGCCTTTTTAAACCAGTATGAATTAGAGAGTATTTTGTGCTTGGTCTTTTATCTCTCTAGTGGAAGCTGTCTCTGGAACTACACCATGTTTTGCACACATTTATTCACGTACTAAAACCATCACAGTGACTGAAGCTAGTTGTGGATTAGAACAGCTTCCGAGAATAAGATGTTTTGATCTTGCCAGGTTTCTCTGCCCTGGCAGTGGGCAGGTGAGAATTATGATAGATCTCACATTTCTTTTAGTTAAAGATGTTGCAGTAGTACATTGTTAAATTGCATTAATTGCTTTCTGTTTAGCTTTTATTGCCTCATTTTAGTTAGTGTTAATTACAAATTCTTTTTCTTCATCCTCTACCTCCATTACTTATTTGTTACTCTCTGTGCGTCACATTGAGGCGCGTCTCAAAACCCGCCTCTTAACTGCCTTTTTAAACCATGGGTGTGGATTAGAGAGTATTTTGCATTTGGTCTTTTATCTCTCTAGTGGAAGCTGTCTCTGGAACTACACCATGTTTTGCACACATGTATTCACGTACTGAAACCATCACAGCGATTGAAGCTAGTGGTGGATTAGAACAGCTTCCGAGAATAAGATGTTTTGATCTTGCCAGGTTTCTCTGCCCTGGCAGTGGGCAGTGAGAAGTATGATAGATCACACATTTCTTTTAGTTCAAAATGTTGCAGTGGTACATTGTAATTGTTTTAATTGCTTTCTGTTTCGCTTTTGTTGCCTTATTTTAGTTCTTGTTAAATACAAATTCTTCTTCGTCATCCTTTACCTCCAATACTTGTTTATTTTTCTTACTTTTCTTGGATACCAATCTTATTTTAACAATTTCACTTGTCAATCTTCTTAGGGTTTAAAAAGTGTATATTGTCACATGCTTAATGGGCCTTTTATTTATTAAAATTTACTGGGCCTTTTATAAAATAAAATTGACTGGGCCCTTTGTAAGTTACACGGACATTTAAAAGAAAAAAATAAAGAAAAATACGCCTAAAATGGCTTGAGGCACGCGCCTCAAGGCGTAGCCTTGAGTTTTGATGCATAAGCCTCATATCCTCCCAAAAAATAAAAACCTAAGCCTCAAGGCGCTTCTCAAAACCTTCCTCTTAACTGCCTTTTTAAACCATGGGTGGATTAGAGAGTATTTTGCACTTGGTCTTTTATCTCTCTAGTGGAAGCAGTCTCTGGAGCTATACCATGCTTTACACACATTTATTCACGTACTGAAACCGTCACAGCGATTGAAGCTAGTGGTGGATTAGAACAGCTTCCGAGAATAAGATGGTTTGATCTTGCCAGGTTTCTCTGCCCTGGCAGTGGGCAGTGAGAAGTATGATAGATCGCACATTTCTTTTAATAAAAAATGTTGCAGTAGTACATTGTTAAATTGCTTTCTGTTTAGCTTTTATTGACTCATTTTAGTTAGTGTTAATTACAAATTAGCTCCTTAGCTGGCCTTGTTGTTATGCAAATGACAAGATAATAGCATCTAATGATATTAATAGGAATTGGGGTTCCATACAAGATAATAGTTTACCCATATATTTATAAGCAATGTTCACATTTTAGACCTACCAAATTCAATCTGAAAAGGCACAGTTCTGGTCAATATGAGTGTATTCTAAAAAAAAAGAATTCAATGTTAAAAAAAGTCAATTGCAGTAACCTAACAAATAAAGGGTCTTGAAAATGCAATTTAATAAACTATGAAGGTCATATGGTAATTTGTACAAACCTCTAGGAAGTTAGTTGTAATTGATCCATTTATTTTGGACTGTGTTCTTTCCATCATTCGCAATGGAGTCAAAGACTCACTATTTTTGGCTTGAGAATATGATGGAATAAAGCAAAATGGCTTACTAAACTGCCTGCGCTTGTTTGTTATGGAGCATCAGTCAGTCCATGCAATTTTCGACGCGATTTTCACCATAGGTCATCCAAAAACAGTCTCTATGTGCTTTAGGGGTAAGACTGCTTACATTCGCCCCCCTTACCCCACCGTAGGTGTGGGAGCCTTTGCGGCACTGTGGTAATGATGATGATGATTTAGGACTGTGATCCCCAAAAACTGCCTCACTTTAACAGTTCCTCCTTTTGGCCAGGGACCGTGATTATGGTAGAGAATATGACAGGGAGCGTGAATTTGATAGTGACAGGGGAAGAGGACGTGACAGGGACAGGGAGCATCATCGGTTGCGAGATGACAAAGACTATGACAGAGGAAGGGGTAGTAGACGTGATCGTGGCCATAGAAGGAGCCGAAGCCGGGACCGGAAAGATCGTGACGATGAACGGCGAAAGAGGCATGACCGCAGCAGTGTGAGCCCCTCCACTAGGGATGAACCCAAGAAAAAGAAAGAGAAGAAAGAGGATGGAACCGACCATCCTGACCCTGAGATTGCCGAAGCAAATAGACTGAGGGCATCCCTTGGATTGAAACCTTTGAAGTAGCAGCCAGCAAGTGACAAAGAAAATAGATCTTGTGTGTGTCAAACTTGGGCATACATTCACAATTTCACATTGACTGATTCTTCATGGTACTAGAATAAATTTGGGGAGGAGAGGGAGGGAAGATTTTCAAGGTTAGCCTCTTGTTTTTGTTTGAGAATTATAAATTTGAAAAGAGATGGGTTACGATAATTATAATTAAAATCGTTGAAGATATACATCGAATTCAAATAGTTAAACTTGTATTCATTTCAAATTGAACTAAAATTATCATTTAGTTAGTTATTCTTCAAAAACTTTCAAATTAGAGAAATTAAAAATTGAACATTAGAGGGTTTTGGAGGGTTAAAAAAGCCCTCCAAAACCTTCCCTTCTAATTTTTTTAGATTCCCAAACAAAAATTGAAGGACCATGAACCCTCCATCTCCAACCTTCTATTTTCCTTCCCTCCAAAACCTCACTCCCAAACATTTCCTTTGTGCTTTTTTTTAATCATGTTCGCAGCAGTGGTAGACTGGGCCCGGTTCGGTTCTTGTTCGAGCCTAGGCCTGGCCGGGTTTGGACGGTTTTGGGTAAGGCCTGGGACCGACCTGGGAGGCTACCGGTTTCGGGCCGGTCTGGTTCCGTTTTTTTTTCTTATTTATTTCAACCCCTACCCCCCCCCAAACCCCTTGGAATTACCCAACCCAGCCCACTTAAACCCAATCCAAACCCAAAAAAAAAAAGAGGCCTGAACCGGGCCTGAACTGGCCGGGCCGGTTCGTCTTTTTGGTGTTCCGGAACCGCCCCACCTTACCCCCTTGGGCCGGGCCTTGGCCCGGAACCGTAACCGGTTTCCTGGGCCGGTAACGCACAGTAGCGGGCCTGGCCGGTCGGACCGCGCCGGGTCCATGACTATGTTCGCCCCTTTATTTACACTCAACTTCTACACAAGGGTTGGGTCATGAGTGTTATTTTGTGATAGTAGTTTTGGGAATCTCCAATCTTTTCCTAGGTAGGATTAGGTGCATGTTTGGTAGATACATGTCCTTGTCGATTAGCTTTTGTACTATTTAAAAAGCCTAGAAGCTTATAGTTGTATGTTTGCTAAAACAATTTATAAGAGTTTTTCACAAAATAAAAGATTTTTTTGAAACTATCGAGTTTGGAGCTAGGTTCGGGAAACGTTTAAGAAGAGTTTCTCAATTTCTAAAGTAGGATTGGGCATATGGAGAAAGTCAACCGCTTTTATCATTAATTAGTTACAATAGCTCGTTATACCTAACATAAATAAATCAAACAATTAGTTTTTTTATAAAACATCTATAATCTTTTCCTTTTAAGATCTTCGGTCACTAAAAGCTAAAGTTATAAAAGCTTTTTATACCCTAGACCTGGCCCTGATTCCGAACCGGAATCGGAATTGAACCGTCGGTTTGAGGTTCCAAATTTTAGGGAACTATAACCACATAGTATTGGTTCTAAAATCAAAGGTTCCGATTCTAATTCGGTTCGGTTTTTGGATCCATTTTTTATTTTTATTTTTATTTTTAGATACTCCCTCCGTATTTGAAAGTCTCATACATTTTCCTTTTTAGGCTGTATTTAAAAGTTTCCTACACTTCCATTTTTGATAAGTTTACCCTTTATAAAATATTCAACTACCCTTACTTTATCTACTTTTTATCTTTCCTTTCATACTTTTACACACTCCCTCTTACTTTTTCTACATTATTCACTATCCCTACTACTTTACTTCTTAAATAATGTGTCCAACCTAATGTAGTGATCATTAAGAGCCCGTTTGGCAAAAGCAAAATTGGTTGCATTGACTGATTCTGCTGAAATTTATGAAGTTTTGGCTGATGTGGCTGTATTGGCTGATTCTGCTTATTTGTGAAAAATAATAATTTAAAATACATTTTATTAATAAAATAAAGAAAAAACCATATAAAAATAGCTAAAATGTCCCTGTACAGTAGCTTCATCCAATATAGCCAGAAAAGTAACGTCAACCTTAGTTTTTCTTATTATTACATAATTCAACTTGTAAAATCAAAAGTTACGTGTTTGGTGAAAAAATTGACTTATAAGTTTGAAAAGCCAAAAATCATGGCTACTAAACGGGCACTAAAATACGGAGGGGGTATTAAAGTTTAGTATCTTTAAATAAATTAATAAAAGAGTGCCCAGAACAATATTACAATAACAAATATCCCTCATTGTTAAAACTAAGTACAAAAATATGATAGGTAATAGCTAAGTAGTTATAAATTACAGACGAAAAAAAGTAGTTATAAATTAGATCGTAAAATCCTACAGCATATTATTCTAAAATAATTTAATCATCAGTAAATTATGGGATAGTATATTAATAATGTACAATGCATTAGATAAGGACTATTGTTCATGAGATCGCAAAATTGAATGGATCAGATTGATTCTCATTTTATACGTTAAGACATCTTTTTATTTGAACCAATCTCTCTCTCTGTCTCTCTCAATCTCTATGAGAGAGAGAGACAGAGAGAAAAGATCAGGTGAGAAGTGCCCCTTAAAATGAGAAGTGAGAAGTAATCTTAGCCCTTGGATTTGCATCTGATTTTACAATGCAGTAAACGTATAGACTAAATATAGGAACTTATAACCAATAAATCATAACTTATAGAGCTCTTCATAATAATTACGAAAATGCCACCGCGTCAAATTTTTTTCCTGGTTCCCGTAATTACGAAAATGCCACCGCATTTTTCTAATTATTTTCGAGGGGTCTATAAGTTACTCCGTATGATTTATTGGTTAAAAGTTCCTATATTTAGTCTATAAGTTTAACTTCACAGTTTTCAGCCTAAGAACACTTCTCACCTGATCCGCTCCATATATATATATACACATATATATATATATATATATATATATATATATATATATATATATATATATATATATAGATAAGAGATCACATACTAACCATGCTTAAAATACTAACTTACTAACTCAATAATATGCAACACATTGAACTTCAATATGCAGTACAAATAATGTAAAGATGCACACTGTGAATTTCAATATGCAATAAAAACAATATGCAAAACTTTGAACTTTAATATGTAGTACAAATAATATGCAACACTTTGAACTTCAATATGCAGTACAAATAATGTAAAGATGCACCGTTTTTGATAGTTTGTAGGTTAGCATGGGAGGAATGGTTAGTATGTGATCTCACCCCTATATATATATATATATGGGTGAGATCACATGCAAAACTAGTCCTCCAATGCAAACCTACAAACTAATTTCATCCATCCGTTATTTAGAATTGGAGAGCCGTGATGTTCAAGGCCTACTGTTTGTCTATGTGGTGAGATGCATGAAATAAAATAACCCAAAGCCCACTAGCATGCAACGGTTATTGGAAAGGTCACATGTGTAAATTCAATTTCAACTAATCATGTCGTAAATCTAAAATTGGAAATAGAATAATGACTAAATCACACCATTTATGAACTTTCCACTAACTTTCCACTAATATATTAACCGGCCATATATATGAAAAATATGAAAATGCATAAGATTATGGGCATGTAACATTTTCTTTAAATCCAAATTTCAGCTACATAATCTACATTTCGTAATCAGATTACACGCATAAATATTCTCCATGAATGGAATCCCTTTTTTGCATTCGTAAATTGTAAAATAACTTTCTCTTTTTAATTAATAATTAATTGTAATTAATTCATTAAATAAATAACTTGATTTTCGGAATTATGCACTTCCTAATTAACCTTTCATTTTTAGCATTGCATATTAAGGTTGTGGAATGTGCACAATATATTGATAATGAGTGCATAGTTTATATTAGAACTTCTAACATATTAAGTTTGTAAGAAATGATGCATATTAAGGTTGAAGTGCATGCATATTAAGGTTGTCCGATATGCATATAAACATTATTGGATGTGCACATTAATGTTAGATGTTGTGCATTATATATTTATAATACCTCTACAACTTATATTAGAACTACATAGTGATAAATATGTCGATCTTGCTGCGTGAGTAGTAATATGTCGATCTTGCATTTAGGTAGTTTATTTTATGTTGCATTTAATCATTATAACATATGCATTTTAGAAGTTCGTATATTGCATGTCAATATGATGATATGTGTATTTTACAAGTTCATATTGCACCTTGTCGCTATGTGCACTTTATCATTGGGACATGTGCATTTAGAATTGACGTTCATATATTGCATTTTAGTAAGATGATATATGCACTTTAGAAGTTCACACTGCATCTTATCGCTACGGCATCTGCATTGTATACTCAACAGACATGCATACGAAATTTATGAGGTCACAAAATGCATAGTGTTTCTGGTACATTAAGATAGAAAATTTGAAACCTTTTTTTTTTTGCATAAATATGAAATTGATGAACTTGATGAAAACAGAAATCAAAACGTTAAATATGATAAATCTCATAATAGAAAAAATTAAGATGTTCTTTTCTGGTGTGCATACTAGATTCAAATCCAAAATGTCAAAATCTGTTAAATCTTGTAAAGAATTAAAAAAAAAATCCGACAGACAATATTTCATGGGAGAGAAGATGGAGATGAAGTTATAACCAAAACAATGAAGAGTTACTTATGTTCCAAGAAGCTCTCTATTAATGGTGACTATGGAGATGGAGAAGGAGATGAAGATGGAGATGAAAAATGGAGATGAAGAGAAGCTTTGAATCCTGGAGAAAGGACTTGTTGATGGTGAACGTGATAGGAGAGAAGGAAGTATCGATGCAAGAAGTTATGGAAAGCTAGGGTACGGTGATTTTATTTCCAAAAATAAAAGAAATAAAAAAGACTACTTAGCCCATCAGTCAAATGATGAACCGTGTGGTAATCTAATTAAGATGGATGCGGCGGTGCTCTTCCGTGATCTGAACCAGGCGTCCACCTTAAGCTTGAGCTTTCTGGTTTCCTCATCCTTAATGAGCTGGAAATCGAGATTGAGGTGCTTGAAGTTCCAAGAGAGCTTGCCTCTAGGTCCCTCGACCTCGATTTGCTTCGCGTGCACCTTGATTTTCACCCCTTCTAGGATGTCCATCGTCTCTGAAGGCAGCAACAATGCATCGAGTGTGGATGGTCACGGAGCTTGTAACACCCCGGCTCCGCAGGCCCCGAGGTAGTTACTCCAGACCTCTAGTACTGTCCTCACAAACCGCCACTAGCCTTTTCTGCGCATTTTGTCCTCACTCGTGCGCGCCCTGAGAAACTTCCCAGGGGGTCACCCATCCCACGACTACTCCCGTGCAAGCACGCTTAACTTTGGAGTTCTTGGTGATGAGCTCCCTTAAAAGGAGATGCACCTTGTTGGTATGAGTAGTAATATTAATCCATTTATATTAAATCTCAAGTGTTACAACAAATATTTCTAATAAGAATTTTCTGCCCAAATCGCCGTCTGGCCACCTCAATTTGAGGTGCTTCCGAGT